AAGTGGAGATTGGATCACATGGGGTCTTGGGCAGCCATTGGGCAACTCTGGCCAGAAAGTAGCATGAACTAATTTTCCTTTTCCTATTTTGAGAACAGTCTATGGAAAGGCAGAGGTGGAGTTAGGGAGGCCAGTTATAATCTGCAATAATACAGATTAAGAAGAACAGAGACTGACCATCATGGAGCAATGGAAGTGGGGAGAAGTGTTCAGAGTCTGGATATATTTTATGAAGGTGGAACCAACAGGGTTTACTGCTGTGGATGTAGATGTGGTACGGAGAGAGAGAGAGAATGAGAGAGAATTGCAAAGGTTTTTGACCTGGAAAACTAGAATGATAAAATTATCATTGAGTAAGATGGAGAAGACTGAGGGAGGAAGAGACTAGAGGAGAGAGGTATGAAGGAATCAAGAGTTGTGCTGTAGACATGCAAAATAAGGGCTGTCAGATGTCTGAGCAGAGACGCATGTAGAAAGCTGGATATATGAGTCTAGAGGTGAGGCACGAAGTCTAGGCTGGACATTATCATTTTGGAAGTCATCAGATTTAAGAATGAATGAGATCACCAAAGGAATGAACATAGAAAGAAATTAAGAGAATCCAAATACTGATCCCAGTTCTTAGAAGTCACAAAGATGATGAAAGACCCGTAAAGACCTGAGAGAAAGTGTAGGCAAGGAGACAAAGTCAGAAGAGCATGATGTCCTGAAAGCAAACTGAAGAGACTGTATCAAGGACAGAGTCATGTCAAACGCTGCCGATAGGCCTAGTGAGGTGAGGACTGAGAATTCACCTTTGATTCAGGCACTTGAAGGTCATGTGGCTTGAGAAAAGCAGTACAACTGGATAGGTAGGGGTGAAAAGTTGGGTTGCAGTTAAAGACGAAATGGGAGGAAAAGATCTGAAAAGAATGAGCATTGACAATGCATTTTCCTATAAAGAGGAGCAGAGAAATGGGGTGGCAATTAGACAGCATTAGGGAGTCAACAAAGGATTATTTTTTAGGATGAGAGAAAGACATTCTTTGGAGTTTTTAAGTAAATAATCATTATCTTAAAATAGTGATGGGTTTGTTTCTTTCTTTCTAATCCTTCTGCCTTTTATATGATTCCTTTGCCTCATTGTCCTGACTGGCACTCCAGAACAATGTTGAATAAGCTGAGGATAATAGGAGTCCTTTTCTCATTCTTTAAAGGAAGTTTCCTGACTTTTCAATGTAACTATGATGTTTGCCCCAGGCTTTTAGTTAATATCCTTTTATCAGACTGAGGAGACTTCCTTTTATTCCCATTTTTCTAAGAATTATTTAATTTTCTGCTCTTTTGAGATCTTTTTTTCCCTTTTAATTTGTTAATGTGCTGAATTTCACTAATAGATTTTCACATTCCTGGGATAAAATGAAATCTGGTACTTATTTTAATACATGTCCTGATTCGGTTTGCTACTTTTAAAGGAGTTTTGGAACTGAGATTGGCTTATAATTACCCTTTTCTACTGTCTATCTGGCTTGGTATCAACTTACACATACTAGTCTCATAAAATGAATTGGGAAATGTCTTCATATTTCTACTGTATACAAGAGTTTTATAAGATTACAATGACCTATTTCTTGATTTCATAGAAAACTATAAAACCTTCTGGGTATCATGAGATTTGTCTTGTTTTGGGTTTTTTTAAGTAGATTTTTAAACTACTGATTTAATTTATTTGGAGAAAATTGACTGATTCAATTTATTTGAAGAAAATGGGGCAGTTGCTTTAGTCACTTTTTGTAAAATTTATTTTCTAGAAAATTGTATGTTTTGTCTGAGTTTTCACATTTATTGGCATATAATTATTTGTATTTTTTCTTGTGTTCTTCTGCACCTGTACTTAAATGCACTTTTTCACTGATGTTTTCTTTCATTGATATTTTCAAAGCTTTGTCTTTTCTAAAAAGCTTTTACTTCATTAATAAATGGGATCTTTTTATCTCTCATTAACTATTTCATTAATGTTTACTAGTTTCCTCTTTGTTCTTTCTTTGGTTGAATTTTATATTCTTTTTCTAATCTCAGGTGTGTTACTACTTATTGATTTTTTTACTTTATTTTATTTTAATAAAAGCATTTATAACCATAAATGTAAGTATAAGACCATTTAGCTTAACTCCACAAGTTTTCAAGATATATTATTTTCATTATGAATTTTAAATACTTATTTTGGCTGTGATTTCCTATTTGACCCATAGTGATTTAGAAGTCTGTGTTTTATTTTCCCAAACAATTTTTGTAATCTTTTTGTTGCTAAGTTAAAATTTTATTGCATTCTAGCCAGAGAATGTGAACTCCATGATACTAGTTGTTTGGAAGTGGTTAAGACTTGCTTTATAATACAGTTTAAGTCTCATCTGAGTATGTAACAATGGCTAATACTTATGTAGTGCTGACCATGTGCCAGGAACTATTCTAAAAGTTTATCATAAATTGCAAAATAATAACTGAAGATCTTTATAGAAACTGAAAGAGAACTTACTTTTTTGTTACTAAGATATTGTTTTAAAATGGTCTATTACACTACAGTAAGTAATACAACTGAAAATAGGAGAAAAAGGCAATTCTTTTGAAAGAGATGAAAGAAATTGCAGAGAAATGAGAGGCTAATACCATCAATTCATGTCTTTGTAGAATTCTTTTTAAGGCATAATGTAACTCACAACCTCATTGGCAGTCTTTTCTCTCTCTTCATAAAGGAAGATCTCATAATTCACGCCTTCTTACATTTGTAGAATTACAATAACTTATCTAAAGTTATTCAATAGCTTTATTCTCCTTTTACCATAAGGACCTTGGAACACTTTAATGCCCATCTCACATATCATTCTTCAGCAACACTTTTATTCCACCTTGTTTAATTCCCTAGAAACTATTCTTTAAAATCACTGATTTTTTAAAAATTCAGCCAATGTTTACTTTGAGTACCTAATATTTTCCTGTTTGTTTTCTGATCATTCTTCTGAATTCAAGTTTTTATTTTTTGAAGGGTACATTTTAAAAGTCCAGTTCCATAAAGATCTGTTAGCAACAAAGCTTCAATGTTTGTTTGTTTTTTTAAAAAGTTATTATTTTGCTCTAAATTTTGAATGATAATTACCTGGATACAAATTTCTAGATTGGCAATCTTTTTATTTCTCAGGATTTTTCACAATTGTGGTTATAACATCTATTGTCAGTTTACTTGTCATTTTTTTATAGTTAATATATTTTTCTTTTTTTATTATTTTCTCTGTGTCTGGTATTCTGTGGTTCTATTATATTTCTAGACATGATTTTGTTTGCATTTTCTTAGTCAATCCTCATTGTATATTGTGAGTTTGGGTTTTATGCTTTTTATCAATTTTGGAAAGCTCTAAAGTATTATATCAACTATTATCTTTTCCACCCAATCTCTCATTCTGTAAATCTTATTTATTCATATATATATTCCACAAGAATTTATCTTTTATCTTTCCATAATATTGCATTGGAAATAAATTACTGAACAAAGCCAACAAAAATTATTGCCCTTATATCCTTTATAGCCTATCTTATTTTATCTTCCATTCCTCTTAATCTTTTGTATTTTTCATCTGTATGTGATACATTATGGTTTCATATCCTCAGTTCTATATTTTAATCGATAATCATAAATAACTTAAATTTTCAATTTATAAAAGGAAAAACAATAAGATCCCAAAAGATTGACATATTTGACTACCAAAAAAATTTGCATGTCAATACATAGCAACAAAAAAAAAATCTGAAAATACTGAAGCATGGAGACATATTCCCAAGCAATATGCCAAATGTTGACTTAATATCCTTACTAGAAAAAGATATTGCACCAAGGGAGAACAAAAAAAAAAAAAAATGAAGTCATCTAAGGAAAAATAAACAGAAGAATACAGTGGGCAATTTCCAAAGAAGGAAATACAAATGGCCAATAAACATGACAAAATAGTCAACCTTTCTTCTGATCAAGGAAATTCCAAGTAAAACAGCAATGAGATATTGTTTTCCACTGATCATACTAGCAAAACAAAAATACTTTCTTCTTGCAAAGGTACAATAGGCAGAGCATGTTTTCACCCAGTTGATGGGAATATAAATCAGTAAGACATTTCTGGAAAATAGTTGGGCAGAATGTATTGCGAGCCTTAAAAATGTTGCTGTGCTTTGCCTCAGAAATTTCCACTTCTGGGATATCTAGACTCGAATTAATCTACAGGGTGGCGAGGGCTTCGTGCATAAGATGGTTCCTGCAACATTAGTTGTAACAGTTATAAAGGTTGTTAGCACTATAGTTTGCAGTGGGATAGAAAGCCCCATCACCTCCCAGCTAATGGCCTATGCTGGTGTAGGATTCAGCCCACCACGCGGAGTTCACAGTCAGACCAATCTCCAAATTAAAGTAATGGGCCTAGTTTTCACATTTAGGTGTTTTGAAGGGTCACATCATCTGTCAGGAAAAATGATTAGGTATTTAAGGGAAAATTAAAATAGAGGAATGAGGAGAAATTGAGTTGGGGAAAGATAAAGTGGATTTGGTCGTTGTTTGAGAAAGAAAGATGAAATGATCTGTTGTGTACAGAGAGAGAAAGAGTGGGAGGAGAAACAGGAAGGTAACTTGGAACAATGCACAAAAGTCACTGCAACGTCAGAGCAAAAAATAATAACAATAACGGGCTTAGACACCTAAATAGCCTGAAGATTAAACCCACTTGCAAGTGAATAATTAAGCTCCTTTGGACTCTCACTGATCCCTCTCTGTGTATCTGTGATACACAGACCTGCTCCATCTGAGCTCGTTGCCAACTCTGCCTCCTCCACAAGTCCACCTTCCCGTCTCAAAGGCAGGTGTGTTGTATTGGGCTTTACAGCATCAGCTCCTAGCACATGGTGTTGCACACCTGTATTTTGTCAGGCCTTTGAAGCATAGCTTTCCAGAGTACTATATAACATGAAGGTTTTCTTCCAAATAGGATTACCAAACTAATAACAATGACCAGGCCGTGGTTGAAATCTGCATCACAAGAATCACAACAGCCATCAGAGAGACAGAGTCCATTGAAAAGCACGCTAAGGCCCTCGTGGCTCTCTGGGACTCCTGCTTGGAACACAGCCTGAGAACCTCCGGGAGAGACGAAGACACTCCCCATGCAAAAATCGCCTCCGATATCATGAGTTGCATTTTACAGGTATGTCAGTGTTCGACATCATGCTATTTGATACTGGCTTGGCCGTTTAGGTGAACACGTGGTGTCTCTGAACCAAGAGCCAATGTTCTGTTGTGTTTGGCTACTGTAAAAAGATACCACGAACCATCAATAGCTAACCCAGACAGTCTGGTCATTAATAAACCTATTATATGCACGACACCCTGTGAGGAGTTCAAAGGAAAACTACAGCAAGCGCTAATTTGTTTGGAAAGATAAGACATGTACGTATAAAAAGCTAACAATAAAACCGTGTGTGCCAAGATTTAAATGAGGAATATTGGAAAATGCAGAAAAGGAGACTTCTTTCATCCAAGGAGTCTGAAAAAGGGAGTGGAGAACTGAGGGGCAATAAGCACGGAATGTGTGGAGAGAATTAACTCAGTCATTTTTAAGTGTATTTCTGTGTGTATTGCAATTTCTCCATAATAATAATATTTGCCTGTTCTGATCATATTTAAATTCTTTCCTCTGGCATAAACATCTTTGGAATTTGGGCTTAGCCACAAAACAATTATGTAAGATTAAAATGTTGGGCAGGACACTTAACTTCCTAAACCACAGTTTCCTCCCTGTAAAATGCAGATGAAGCAACATTGTCTATGACAAATTTTACCATCCATCCATGGTGATAGGTGTCTCTCAAAAGAGAACCCTGGATCAAATAAGTTGGTAAACACTGAACTCAATGTTTTCCTTTTGAGCTATCACAATGTTTCATAGTATATTAAAGTCTCTGGAAAGTCCTGGAATAAAGCAAGCTGGCTAAGTGTTTAGTACAGCATTTTCTGCTCTGATGTATTCCCCCATGATGTTTCTCCCCCCACCCCACCCCTAACACATCATACATGAATAGCCCTCAGAACTGTGGTTCCACTAAGCACAGTCCAGGGAATTCTGACTATGTCTAGCACTGTGTGGGGCGGCTAATGTTAGATTCAGTTCTTCTTCTTTTATTTTTTTCTCACAGTAGTCTATGCTTAACTGGAGCATATTTCATATCCAGTCTAGGAACTGGCCAACTGAACAAAGGACCCTACGCACACTATCACAGTTTTGTTTTTGTTTTGTTTTTTTTGTTAATTTTGTTTCGTTTTGTTTTTTATCTCTAGGGTTAGGGAGGGGAGGAGAGGAGAGGAAATGGGGATTTCAACAAAGCTAATGAGAAATTAATGCTGCTTGGATGTAACCATAAAGACCTAATAAATCTGTTCTTTATTGGCTATCTTAAATATGTTATTGATATACCTCAGAAACAAATTATGTACTCCAAAGTACCACTCCAGGGACATTCAGACAGAAACTCACAAATCATCTGTACTCTTCAGCTCCCACTACAATTCCAATACCGTTGGTCTAGACTCCAGAAGAGTGCCGCCAAAGAGAAACCGAGTGCAGGCCTCAAACGCCAGCCGCATAGGTCATTTGAAATTTTCCAGTAGCAACATTTTAAAGTACAAAGAAACACATGAAATTGATTTAGTAATATATTTTCCTTAACTCAATGTATCCAAAATCATATTATTTCAGCATGTAATCAATATAAAAATTAATGAAATATTTTACTTTTTTTAATATTGAGTTGATCAAAAAGTTGGTATGATTTTTCCATAAAATAAAAGACATGTTTTTCATTTTCACAAATAACTTTATTGATTTGAATATTTTGAATATGCTGGCTATCTCACACCTTGTATAACATTGATTGTTCTCAATTAATGTCTCAATTTGATCACTGTCAACTTCAACTGGTCTACCTGACCATGGAGCATCCAGCGAGAAACTTCTAACAAAAGCTTTGCAAGCCCCTTTTGACACATTCAATCAGTTACAGCGCCTTCTCCATACACTGCACAAATCTTATTTTGCTTTTCAGTTGGATTTTTACCTTTCTTGAAATAATGAAGCATAATATGCCAAAAATGTTATGTATTATCTTCCATTTTCAGTATTAACATGGCTACACAAAAATTCACCAATTTTGCCTTTTTTTAATACACATTGTTATGATAGCTGTCGCAATACAATCTAACAAAATTATCTCGAATGAAATTAAAGACAACTAAGCGCTACTAGAGTCGTCTTACCAAAAAAACCAAGTGAACTTTTTGACCAACCTAATACTAAATCTTATAAATCTGGTGTGGGTTTCAGCACATCTTTGGAGTGTCAACTTCCAGGTGCTCAATAGCTTCACATGGGTAGAAATAAGACCAAGATCAGAAAAGAAGGTTGCCCTTTCCAAAGTGCTAAATTCTAAGGCAAAGGGATGTTTCGTTCTGGGTAAGGTGTTATGCCTCCTACTTAAAACTTGGGGGTACGATGGGAGAGAAGGCAGCAAACACTTTTGAGAAATAAAAATGCTAAATTTACTGCTGGTCAATGACTCAGTGATACTGCGGAAATGAGTTTGTAAGATTGTTGAGGATAGAGTCCTGAAGACAAGCACTGATATTTTGGGAAGAGATTGAGAAAAGAGCAAAGGGATAATCCTCTTGGTTGAGGGGGACAAGGAACACCAGCCTGTAGAGCCATTGTGGGCACAGGGTGTCCTTAGTATACCCTCCAAGGAGGCAGGAGGTTTTTATAGTGGAAGTCAGGAAGCCCCAAAAGGAAACTCGCCTTTCAGCCTGGGTCAGCGATTTGTCCTGGCCACCCCTGGGGATGTGATCCCAGAAAGTCAGCTCCAGGACCACAGGCAGAGCTGTGGTCCCAGCACTGGCATTTAGCTGTCACCAAATTTTAAGGAGAATTGTTGGCTTGCAGTAAATACTGAAAAGACGATTTTATCCTACTTGTAATTTACGTTCTTGTGGGAACCATGTATAAATCCAGATGACTCCTATTCTATTCTGTTTTTTCAGTATAGATCAACTTTCAAAAGACATCCTTAGCATTTTTAGCTTGCACAACAGAAAAAAAAAAAAAAGAAGAAGAAGAAGAAGAAGAAGAAAAAGTTATTTCCTCTCTCTCCACCCCTCCTCCCCAGATAAGGAAGCCCGGCATTGGGCCAGGGCCCATCAGCTCTTTCCATGTCTTCGCCCATTTCACTCGATGTTTTTTTCTGGGCACTTCACTGTCATTGTAAACATAAATATATTCACTCACAAAAAGCTTTGTCTTATTTTCCCCAAAATTACCTTTGTTAACCTATACTCCAACATACCCCAAGGGACCATTCCTCTTCCTCTTTTAATGAGTAATAATACGTGGTAGGCAAAAGTAGGTTTACAGTTGTACAAATAAGTAACACAATAATTAATAGATTATAATACAAGAATAAACTGTTGGGTACCCTCACAACTGTAAACCTACTTTTGCCAATTCCTATATTGAGTCCTTTGTTTTCTTGGTCCCTAGATTAATCTTAAAATAATATAAAATCCCAGAATTCACCCTCTAGACATTCCTCAGTATAAAATCAATACAGGTGTGCAGCATGTACTTCCAAGTTCTGCTTTTTTTTGCCTTGGATGATAGGACAAAAATATTTATTGATTTTAGAGAGAGGGGAAGGGAGGGAGAGAGAGAGGGAGAGAAACATTGATAGGGGACCAAACCCACAGCCCAGGCATATGCCCCAACCAGGAATCGAACTGGCAGCCCTTTGGCTTATAGGAGGACACTCCAATCACCTGAGCCACACCTGCCAGGGCTGGATGATATGTCTTTTACAAACCATCCTGAGTCCTTAGACAAGCCTCTCAAACTGTCAACTAAGAAACAAAGGATGGACCAGATCACCTTCTGGTTTGAAATTCTGATTTCCCCAGGAGATGCTGAGAGGTGGAATAACAAAGAGCTTTAGAGCTTGAGGACCTTAAAGTCAGATGCTATTTGTCATATATAAATGAGAGGTAATTTATTTTATCTACCTAAACCTCTGTTCTGACAATTTTAAAATGGGCATAACAAACTCCTTGCTCATGAAAAGCATCTTTTATGATAAAAGCAATGTCCCTGTGTAGTCTAGCCACTATCCAGAAGTACCTATTTTCAAACCACAGCTCCCTCTGACCAGGTTTATGTGTGGAGTTGTCCACTGCCTATATTTTTGCCACTTGAAAAATTACAAAGAGGAAGGTGTCCTCCACAAAGCACATAACATTCCAGGATAAATCCAAACCTGGAGACAGTTGAGAAAAATTAAAAGGCACCTCAAGGTTCATTGACACAGCTGATGTACTAGAATGAAATTCTAGAGCAGTTAGAGCCTCTCCTCCAATCAGATCACTTGGCAGAGCTGCTGTCCAGTTAGCACTGCATTTTATCTCTGTCTCATCTCTGTTCACGCTGTTGATGACCCCCAGGAAGAGGATGATTGCCCAAGGTGGTTATTTGGAAGGAAGGATAGGAGTACTCCCCAAACCTACTGTTGGAAAATCAGAAGGTATCTCTATTTCCTCTTTAGAAGGACCCCATTAATCTTTCTCTTTTACTCCACACTTCAATTTTCTTATTTCTTCTTCCCCAGTTAATGTTTCATGAGAATTCAAAATTTGCCCCTTGACTGGCATTGTATGCAATGTGCCTTGGACAACTTTGAGAGCATTTCCAATGCAACTCTTAGAGGGAGGATTGCTTATGTTGGTTTAGAAGTTTGTTCAATCGGCCACCCGGCTCTATCATTTACTTGCAGTGCGATCTTGAGCAAATTAATCTTTTTGTGCTTTCATTCTGTCATCTGTAAAATGCAAGTGACAAGCGTAGCTGCCTCATAAGTTTGTTGTGAGGATTAAATAAATAGACATAGTAAAAGTAGACATAAAATCTTTAGAATACAGAAATTGCTGCATGAGTATTGACTTTGATTAGTATCACCATTAGTATCATCCACAGAAGACTCTAAAATAGCACTCAACACTTTGTAAAAGGTTATTAATTTAAGTATTTATTATAGCCATTGTTCTTTGCCTATCTCCCCATCCCCAAAATATAAGCTCTGTTTTATTCACTAGTGTAGTCTTAGCACCTAGAATAAGCGAATGGTGCTCAAAATAATATGTATTAAATGAATGAATGAATGAATGAATGAACAAATGGTTCAAGACACATCATTGTTTTCTGGCTTCCACAACAGCTACCCTTCTCCCAGAGTGGGCCAAAGTCCTTAATCCTCAATTAAAGCCACATGAGACAGTGGCATGAAATGGGAGGCAACTGGGGCACACCCCCAGGATCCTGAGACCCACTCTCTCATTACACGTCAGAAAATACACTGGGAAAACTTAAGAATATGTGCCATATAGATTTGATGTATAGCCATGCTACTAAGAACAAAACATTTTATATATAAATCCAAATTTAGTTTGATTACCTGATCAATGATGCTAGATGGATAACCATAGTATAACTATTTTAATAAATGATGTTTACTATTTCTTGAGACTACTCTTTTGTGGCTCTTTCTTGAATTCAAGGCCTAAGAGCCAAAGAGCTTTTTAGTTGCTATCACCTCAGATAAATATCTCTTCTACTTAGCTTTATTCTTTTCAATTTTAAAACACTGGGAAATGTTCCCAAAGTACATTTTCAAAAGGAAAATCTCCACCAAGAGCTCAAATTGGTGCTAATCTAGTTAAGAAATATAATTCTTGGCATCTGTAGAACAAGGGCCTCTTGTTTTGCTTCTCCAGCTAAATATAACTGTCCCTGTGAACATGTCTTTATTTCTACCCCGTACTTCACTGAACTTGTTTCCTGAGTGCTGGGCACTGAGTTGTGTGTAAGACGATACACATACCAACATGCACACGTCTGTGCTGAGGGTCAAGATCTCTCATGGGCTCTGGAGTTAACAGCTCCTGCTAAAGTGGTTTATTTGTACAGGTATTCATAGGTCTTTCTCAGCATGTATGCCATTAGCATTCCCATGATCCAAAGAACCTTAGTGATAAAACAGTTTCATGGGCCTGAAATCTTCTGCACTAGCAACTCCTTTTGCATCACTTGAGAGCGAAGGAGATTCTATAGTACCTATCAGGTCCTAGGACCCATGTCTATCCAGCCTTATCTTGGCCTCCCAGCCCCTCACTCACATCCTGTTGCTGTTAGCCATGCCCAAGGCTTCTTGATACACAAGGAACTGTCTAGACACTGTTTAGAGATTGTGTGAGCCTTTGGTCGCAATTCTTTAGTGTTTATATGAACTACTTGCTCTTTGCATAATGTTTCACTTCTCCTGTCATTTAAGAGATTTTTAGATGACCTATGTGGGAGGAAAACAGAAAAATTGAGCATGTTAAAGTTTTTTTAAATAATAACAATATACATTTTTAGGGGATTTTATTTCCCTTGGAACCACACTTTACAGACATTAATAACTGCCTGCTATTTTTCTCAGAACATCTAGAATTTTGGAAAAAGAATATGATCAAATTGGCTAAGACAGCCTGTTATTTCATTGTTGCTGGCAAGTGTTAGTTCTCATCCAAAGTGCAAAAACATTAGTTGCTGGGAATACTGATTTCCATTGACCTTTCACTCTGCCAGCCTGTGTCTACAATTAGCTGGAAACACCTGAGTTGTACTTCCCAGTGCCACTGTGCGTGGTTTCTCAGCAAGTTACAGGTAAAGGTGACCTAGACCTCTAATGCAAGATGTATACCTCTCTAGCTGCAAGATGTTCTTGGCTAAGGACCCAGAGTAGATACAATAAACTTGGGCCTACAGTTCACTGGAAGCTCAGAGAAGCTCTGAGAAGAATTGGTTGATTGTGTTCTAGTCTCAAAATGAGGACTTTGACCTGCCATCAGAGGAACAAAAATGTGTCATCTAAAAGTTAAACTCACAAAAGTTATACATAATGGAGAAATTGGCTGTGTATAAGAACAACCCAAGAAATCGTATAGGAAGGATTGAAGGGTTTAGAAAACATCTAATGCTCTAAGTGAGGTAATATGAATAGAACCTCAAGGGAGCAGAAGTAGAATAGGATTTTAATAGAGAAAATGGACACATGAATTGGCCTTCCTGAAGACTACGGGTCTGAAGAGTAAGTCAACAAAAAGACAATGTGCCCCATGGAGTCATTATTTTGGCACATTTATCTAGCTCTGCCTAGAGGTTAGAGACTGACTCTGTTGCAGTTCTGGTCACTAAAGACAGTGATTTGGTTAGAGTGAGGAGTATTATTTTGGTGAGGTTTCACCTGGCACAGGTGATATACCTCACAGAATTTTCCTTTGTTCCGATCAGATCTTTTGCCCATGAGTGAAAATTCTGGTTAGTAATCTAGTTCCTGATATCCTAATAATGTGAAAGGGTTACATAGGTATGACCTGGGAGACGCCCTTACTGTGGATGAGTAAATTGGCATGACTGATTGTGTACCAGCCTCTTGGAAATCCCTTGGTGTAAGTTAGCCTCAGTGGATACAAAGGATTCTGGGTGGCTGACCAGACACATCTTCAGATGTCCAAAACTGAAGTAAAGGGAGCAGCCAGCTTCTCAGGGAGTCCTCACAGTTCATCATACCAGTAATGGGCAAGACCAATCAGACCTAATTCAATTCACCAAGAGGGGAGATAAACCTAGTGTTAGAGAAGTAAGGCTGCAGGCCATGGTCTTTTTGATAGTATTACAGTTTTAGGAACTCTGAGAAGTTAGGACAGAAACCTAGTAAGTGAAATTGCTATCTAAGCATGATTTGTCATCAAGGAATAGGGTCAGAGGTTTCAGTATGGCTGACTTCATGGTGTGATGTCAGATTAGGTTGCCAAATATTCATTTTCTCTGCTCAGAAGTCAGATTGACCTCTGAGTCTGGAACATGGGTGATACTGCAGGAATGGATTAAGGGTTTATCAGAGATTATCTGTTTTTGTTTCCAGGGACTGGGAAGAAATAAAAAATTAAGTACAAGAGACTTAACTGGTTCACTTAAAACAATTTAGGGGTAGAACCGGCCTAAGGCACACCCTCATGCATGGGGCTCAAAGGATCTCAAAAGGACCTAGTTTTTCTAAGCTTATCTCTCATATAGAGCAATATTGCCTTGAATTTCAAATAAATTCTCTCCTGAAGTCATGAGATGGTGGCACCTACTCCATCTTCCATTATCAGTGCTTTGAATCCATCAGAAAACAGAATCTCCTTCATGGAGCCCTTAATAGTTCTTTAATTATAATTGGATAACTTGAACCCATCATTTGGACCAGGACCATGTGATTCTCTGGCCAAGGTCTGAGTCATTTGACCACTGTTAAAGTCAAGAGCGGAAATGTCTTTGTGAGAAGTACCTGAGATGATGGTTCTGGAAGTTGGAATCAGCTAAGGAGTGTGTAACCACTCACCTGCCCCATCAACAAGCCCGGAAAATGAATGGCACTGGGGCATTGGACTCATACTGGGCCATTGCTGTCCATGGATGATACCAGCGAGAGGGAGAAGTGCCAGTGGGATCCCCCACCCCCTCTGCCTTTCCTACATTATGTTCCCAGTGACAACTGTAACAATAGATGAACATGTTTTTTTATTTGTTATTTAATTAAACAAAGGTTTACTGAACATCTACCAAAACCCCAAAATTGTAGGAGGTATTAGAGGGGATAATTCAAGGTGGAAAGACATAAGCACTTTTTACATGAACAGTTAGGGAAAAACAACCACTTTTTATCTCTAATATAATAACATGAACTCAGCTTCCTGAACACACTATACACTGTGCAAGTTTTGCTTTATATTTAGTCCCTGGGTGGAGTCAATGGTCAAAAACATTGATGGTAATGAAAACATACCATTCACCTGTAAGAAAACAACTTGTATTTTCCAAATATTATTCCCAAATTAGGTACTTAACTGCTGATAGCATTATTTTATATGTAAGATATTGATGTTCAATCACAAAGTAAATCAAGAAGAGAATTATTTTAGAATCCAAAATTCCTTTACTTGTGTTCATTCATTTTTTTCTTCTGAATCTCATGGGCTGAAACTTTAGATTTTAAGATACAGTCAGAAAGCAATTTCTTCAGTATTCCCTGGGTTGTTTCCTCAAGCATAAATCTGATATTATTCTTTTCCTCAATGACTTCTGATCACCCTAATGATCAAATCCAAACTCCATAGCATGCCACGCCAGGCCTTTCATAAGTACACCCCTGTTTACCTCTCCAGTCCCTTCTCTTGCCTCCCCACCCCAGTGTTTCCACATGTATTGCACTCCATCCATAATGAAGGATTCACAGTTCCCCAAATGCACAAACTCTGTCTCCCCTCTGTGCCTCCATGTGTGCTTTTCCTTCTGCCCACTCATTTTCTTGCCCTCACCCAGCTATCTCCTATTCATCAACTAGGTCTCAACCAAGACATCACCTCTGTGAAGTCTTTCTTGACACCACCTGCAAGACTGGATTAGGTGCTCTTTCTTTGCTCCATCAGTACCCTGAACTTTGCCTAGCATGGCCCTCATTAGCCTTTGCTATTAACTGTCTGTTTGCCTTTAAGTCTCCCTAATAAGAACAAGAGTTCCCAAATACAATGAAAACAGGGAAGAGCCTTTGTTGTCACAGCTGCACTTTGAGAGCTTAACTCAAGGAATCTTTTTTTTCAATGAATGAATAAATGAATGAATAATGAGCCACTTAGTATATGTTGCTTTCTTGCATTTCCTCAGAATTACAGCCGGCCCCCAGTGATGGCATTAGCCATCCCCATCGCAGTGAAATTCCTCCACAGAGGCAACAAGGAACTGTGCAGGAATATGTCCAACTACCTGTCCCTGGCGGCGATCACTGAGGCGGATCTCCTGGCTGATCACACAGAAGTGATAGTCAAGAGCATACTCCAAGGTATGGTGTGAAGGCTGAGCTTGGGGACATGTTTTAGAAGTCTTTGAAAAGTGTTTTCAGTTTGTGGAAAGTGAGACCTAGAGGATTGAGAGATACCTTAGATACTCTGCTTTACGACTAGCTAACTTGTGAACACAGGTGAGGTTACTTGGGCCAGTTGAGTCTGTGTCTCTTCACTGGGCAGATGAATTATTTGGACTCATTAGAGAAGTTGTAAGCTTCCCTCTAACTCTACATCTCTCAGTTTGGAGAACTGTGTTTTCCATGCTTCTGGTCACCTTGTTCATCTGCGGACTATGGTAAGTGTGTCTGTCTGCACGGAGTGAAATGTATCCTGTTGCTCTCAGTGGCAGATGGATAATGTCTTCTTCCTCTGGTTTCCAAAAGCAGGAAAATGTGTAAAGACTTCTTAAATGTGAATGACTGATTTGTAATTGTGTTAAATTCTATCATAAAATCTCAAATCAGAAGTTAATAGTTAACCTCTGTTAACTGTTTTACATTTGAATGAAAGAAAACAAATTAATCCACTCAAAATACTTTCTTTTTCTTGGGATTTTTCCTTTGGTTTCAAATCAGAAACCATGTTTTTTAAAGATTTTGGATAAGAGAAAAATATATGGTATTATTTAATATGCACCGAAATGTCTGCAGTGCTCATCAATAAAATTGTATGAGGCCCGTGAGTTTCTGGCCTGCATTTTACTAGCACCCCCTCCACACAAGCACAAGTGAACATCAACCCCCTGTCAAGTGCTCCCAGACAAAGTATTTCCTGGCATCCCCAAGGGAGCCCTGCATGTGCTCTCTTTCTGAGGTGTCCAGACCGTTTAACACGCCTATGCAGCTGTCTCTCCATGCTTCCCAGCCTGGCAGGCTGTGGTGACTTCCACCTCCGCCACCCTGGGCCCAGCCAACTCTGCAGCTGCAACTGCCATCAAGGTCCCAGGAATAGACTGCACTCCACACTGCCTTGCCTGTCTGTCCTTTTGTGCTGCTCCCCTTGAAGCTCAGGAGCCACCAGCCCTCAGTCCACCAATTTCATTCAGCAGGGTCAGGGAGAACACCTGGATTTTGGATTTCTCCTCGGGGTTCCTTTTTGGTAGCGAGGCCCCAGAGCAGGGTTGCTTGGCTCTCAGTGCCAAACTATGTTACCCAGTTTGTGGTCAATAGACAGTTCTATATTATATAAACTGTCTCTTCCCTGGGCTCCACTATTGACCCAAGAGTCCAGCTAGCAAGAAATTAGTCCTCCATTTCTCAAAATGCCTATGGCCTGCCAAGGACTGAGGTTCTGTTTATTATACCAGACATTCCCAAGAAGAGTCACCCACCCCAAGCCCCCAGACATCTGACCAGCCACCCCAGTCGTCTGCCAGATGCCCAGATATGTCTGAACCCCAGCCACGACAGTGGAAGTTTATCACTCTCCCTGTGCTCCCCTGGGAAGATTTGTCATCAATATTACTAGTCAGTATCACTCTCTTGGCTACAGGACTGAATTGCTAATTTCACTTTATACATATTAAAGTTGCTAAATGTCTGGAAAAACAATTATTTTTTTTCACCATCTTGGCTACATATTTGGAACAGATTTTATAGGAATTACGAACACTTATACACACCACACATTTTAAATCCATGATAGTTAGACTCATAAGTAACAGATAGATGAAAAAAAAAATTAAATTGTCTCTTTGTAGGTGCCAAGAACTTAGGTCATGTATTTGGGTTTTTTTTTTTTAAATGCACTTTCAATGACAAAGAAATCTTTTGAAATGCAAAATACACTTTTCTTAATTCACTGCAAGCATTTGAAATAAACAAATGATTTGGTTTATTTGATCTGGCACAATGAAAATTACCATAAAATAAATGACAATTTGACCTAAAAGGTTGGGGCTACATATTTCAGGGTTTAGATTTTTAGGACAGATATGTCTGTAAAACTTCACAATCACTCACATGAGCACATCAAACTTTGAGCTTCAAAGCAGAAATGATCTTGCTATATCTGAATAGTGAGTTTTTAGCTCTGCAAATTTTTGTCATATATATATCTCCTGCCAAATAGCCTTTGGAAACATCAAAAAGATTTCTTTTCTTTACCTATAGTTTTCCCCCTTTAGAACTTCCTGCTTGAGTTCCATTATCTTTATCTGAACCCTTATTCTTCCATTTTTCTACTTCTACAGAAAATGTTAAAGTTTACAGTTGTTTGGTTTGATCTAAGTTTTTACAAGACTAGAATTATAGAAGTATAAAATCTTAGGTTTTGGCTCAGTTGCCCAGGCAATGCTTGAATCCCCCCAAATCAACATCCATTCAATGATAGCAATAATAATTATAATAACCATAATAATTACAAGGGCTAAAATTTATTTCATGCTCTCTTTAAGCCAAATACTGTATTACTACTTTATATTAATTATATTCACAACAATTCCATAACAGTAGTCCTATTATTATCCCATATTACCAATTAATAGTATTTTAGGTAACAGATACCCTAGGTATACTCATAAATGTCTTAATAATTGTGATGACAAGGATGATGATGAAGAAGAAGAGAAAGAAGAAGAAGAGGGAGGAGGAGGAGGAAAAGGAGGTAGAGGAGGAGAGGAGAAGTAGAAGAAGTAGGAGGAGAAGGAAAAGCTCCTCAATGGAACACATGACTGGAAAGTGCATGAGTATATCCAGCTGCCCATGTTGCTTGATTCAGGGCTCAGCGGTGGTCCCAAAAGTCATTCCTGAGCTCTGCTTCCTGTGGATTAGTTTCACTCTTGTGCTCCACATTCTGGGCCTCTGCAGTGAAAAGCCCACATCCTCATGAATACCAATTAAGTAAAAGAAACTCCATATCTAATTGCATTGTCTCTGTTTGAAATGACATGGATCACATGCCCATTGACATCCTTATATAAGTATTTACCTTTATCACTTTACACTCTATTCTTAAGAGGTTAGGCCACTGTTTTGGCATGTGAAGATACTGGATGATAATTCTTTATTTCAATGTATCTTTAGTTCTTCCATGGTTCTTGCCATCTGTAAATTTTATGAAAAGAACCCCTCTACTTTCATTTTAAAACATTAATTAAAAGATGTAGACCAGATGGGGCCAGACAATCCTCGTGGTGTGTGGTGTACCAGTGGTGACTGCCCCTTACACTCGGATGATATTATTAATCATAATTGTTCAATTATATTGTACATGTCTGTCCCTGATTCCAAACCAAGTGCCTCCATTATGCTTACAAATCAATCATGAGAGGCTTTGTCAAATGAGCTTATCTATTTATCCCTGGAGTAAAATATTTCCATAGTTCCAAGCCATTTTTTGCTACTTCTCATTATTAATGAGTACATATAAAAAATAGTGTTTACTTTTACATTAAATATAAACATGTTTATTTTACTCATTTTGTTTAGACTTCATTTGTCTGTTTTGTATTCTCTGAACCCTCCCAGCAAGAAGGAAATTGTGCAGGTGTCTTTTTGGAGAGAGGATTAAAGGCATTAGCAGTGTTGCCTTGATTTGTACTTCAGAGCTAAGGAGATAGAAAACCTGAATTTTTCTCTACCAAATAAGGCAGTTGAATCAGTACTTTTAAATCAACCCACCAAATAAAAGCAAAAACAAAAAACTGTCCCATTTAGTTTTATAGGCAAATTAGAACAAATATACAAAAAATAATTGCACTCTTATCTAAACTTTTTCAAATAATTAAAAATTATCTGAAATGTCAGAGTCTAGCTAGTCTCTGACCATTTTGACAAGGCCAGCTAGAGCCATGGTAGCAATACCAGATGAGAACAATATAAGAAAGGAAAATACAGGCTAATCTCAATTATAAACATATATACACAAGTCACAAAGAAAAATTTTAGCAAAATGACTCTGGCAATGCTTAAAGAAAAAGGCAGTACACATTCGTTGAGTGATTTTTCTGTACCAGATACTGCTATTTTAATTCATATAATTTTCCCAATATCTTATGAGGGAGAAACTATCATTTTATTTATTTATTTATTTATTTATAATTTTTAAGTCATGTTTATTCTATTATAGTTGTCTCTATTTTTCCCCTTTGCCCTCCTCCACACATCCCACCCCCCCCCATTATCTTCATTTTATAAAGTTCATAATGACTAAGGTGAATTTATCCCAGGAATGAGAGGATAAGTTAATATTCAAAATAGAATTCCCCACAATAAAGACTAAAGGTGGAAAAAGTCATGTGATCAGTAAGCATCTCATAAAACTCAGTACCTATCCATGAAAAAAAAAACCTTATGAACTAGAAATTTGGAAAACTTCTTAAACTGATTAAAAGCATATTTATTATACACTTCTAACATTTCACCACTATATATGAAGATCTTTCCAGAAAGTATCCAGCCATGTACTATGAAAAATAAAGATATTTATTGCAGAAGATACGAAAAACATTGTACATAGAACAATGACGATTCAGTCTCCTTCAAAGCAGGCACCGTGGGACCTCACACAGTTCTTCCAGTCGCCATCAGCCGCCCGGTTGTATTTTCCTGAATCTCATCAATGGTCTGAAAGCTCTTCCTTTTCAAAGGTGATTTTAGTTTTGGGAAAAGCCAGAAGTCAAAGGGCACCACATCTGGGCTGTAAGAGGGCTGAGTCACCTGGGTGATTTTATGTTTTGCCAAAACCTCTGCACCAGATGTGATGCATAACAGGAGCATTGTTGTGATAAACCTGCCAATCACCAGTTGCCCATAGTTGCAGCCTTCTGAATCATCTGAATAGTTTCTGCGGAGTGATGTTCAAGCTCAACACAAAAATTTAATGCAGATTCATTGCTCTACTCTTTCAGTCATTTTGAATGTGATGGCCACACAGTATACATGCTCACTCAATGGCATCTACCACCCTCACTAACTAGTAGAGTGAAGTCTCATTGTTCACACATGCGCATTCCAGTCCATTTCCTTGGCTGCCAGGTTACGTCTATGTTGTGCAA